GCTAATTAAAACCGCTAATTAAAACGCTAATTAACTAATTAGCCTTCCCGTCGCCCCCTCCGGCCCCTTCGCCCCCCCCCGCCAGCCCGGCCGCAGCCGGAAGCGCTTCCCCACTGGGCGCCGCCATCTTGTCTTACGGCGCTGGCCCCGGCGCCTTCAAGATGGCGGCGCGCTGCGGACTGTTCCATGCGCGGCCCGGAGCGGGGGGGGGAGGGGGTGGACGAAACCATTTTTTTGCTGTAAAAACGCGCGGTTTTCAGCAAAATTCACCCTCCTCCCCTCCAAAAAAAAAAATATACGTGTGTTTATGTGTTAAAATAAGTGTTGGGGGTCGCTACAGGTGGTTCGTGTTGGGTGGGACACCCACTTTCTACCCCCCCCAAATCCTAGTCGCATTCCCGATCCCAGTCCCGATCCCAGTCCTGGTCCTGATCGTGGTCTCGGTTCTGGTCCCGGTCTCGGTTCTGGTCCCGGTCTCGGTTCTGGGCCCCATTGCGGTCCTGGTGCTAATCCCGGTCCGGAGGTTAATCCTGGTGCCAATCTCCATCCTGATCCTGGTCCCCATCCCGGTCTCCATTGCATTTCCTAAACTCCACTGTAATCCTCATGCTGGTCCCAATTCCAAGCCCAATTCTATCAGCCCCATCTTCAGGTCCTTCCTGTGGATCATCCAGGCTCCAGCTCTGAAGCTTCCTGGGCCTAGATTAGACAAAACCTTGGGAAAGAGGATGGGTTGGGTTGAGTTGGCTTGAGTTGGGTTGGGTTGGGTTGAGTTGGGTTGGGTTGGATTGGATTGAGTTGGCTTGAGTTGGGTTGAGTTGAGTTGAGTTGGGTTGGGTTGAGTTGGGTTGAATTGGGTAGGATTGAGTTGGCTTGAGTTGAGTTGGGTTGAGTTGGGTTGAGTTGAGTCAGGTTGGGATGGGTTGGGTTGAGTTGGGTTGAGTTGGGTAGAGTTGGGTTGAGTTGGGTTGAGATGAGTTGAATCGGGTTGAGTTGGGTTGGGTTGAGATGAGTTGAGTTGGGTTGAGATGAGTTGGGTTGGGTTAGTTGGGTGGGGTTGGATTGGTTGGGTTGAGTTGGGTTGAGTTGAATTGGGTTGAGTTGGGTTGAGTTGAGTTGAGTTGGGTTGGGTTGAGTTGGTTTGGGTTGGGTTGGGTTGAGTTGGGTTGGGTTGGTTGGGTTGGTTGGGTTGAGTTGGGTTGGGTTGGTTGGGTTGGTTGGGCTGGTTGGGCTGGTTGAGTTGGGTTGGGTTGGGTTGAGTTGGGTTGGGTTGGGTTGAGTTGGGCTGGTTGGGCTGGTTGGGTTGAGTTGGGTTGGTTGGGTTGAGTTGGGCTGGTTGGGCTGGTTGGGCTGGTTGGGTTGGTTGGGTTGGTTGGGTTGAGTTGGTTGAGTTGGGCTGGTTGGGTTGAGTTGGGTTGAGTTGGGTTTGAGTTGGGTTGTTTGGGCTGGTTGGGCTGGTTGGGTTGGTTGGGCTGGTTGGGTTGGTTGGGTTGGTTGGGTTGGGCTGGTTGAGTTGGGTTGGTTGGGTTGGTTGGGTTGGTTGGGTTGAGTTGGGTTGGGTTGAGTTGGGTTGGTTGGGCTGGTTGGGCTGGTTGGGTTGGGTTGGGTTGG